TGCTAACTCGTCATGTTGATACAAAGATCAAGAAATTAAACCCGACACTAGATGAAAACATAACATTAAGTGTTGCACTTGAAGCACTAATTTGCACCTCTGGTAGTTTGGATGAACTAGATCCTTATTATTATTATTATTTTTTGGTATTAATTACATAATAAAAAATAATTATTTCTTATTTTTTATCCCATTTTACTTACATGTTATACGATTATCAAGACGTTTTACTTTCAGTAAAAAAAAATAACCACTAAATTATTTAAATTATTGACAATTAAATTATTTCCTCCTTCCCCTCTCCTTAATTGTCCATGTTTAAAAAAATAAAAAATAAAAAAAAATAAAGAGATAACAATCGTGAGATTGGTGCATTGAGATTAACTCCTCTTAGGTGCACAAGCACCCGGTTTATGATTAACATGGGTGTAGTTTTATTTAATGAAAATATAAAAATAGAAAATAAAAGAATTAATAAGTTTTCATAATAAAAAATAAAAAAAATAATAATTAAAAACTTATCAGTCCTCTCTACTTCTTATTTTTATTATAAAAACTTATTCTCAACCGCATGCTTTTTGTTTGTATTTGTATGTAATCGTAATTAAACTGAGAATCATCTCGTGAACTCCCGGCATAATTGAGGGCACGTGGTGGGGTGATTAATGCACGTGGAACAGCCGCCGTGGGGTCGAAACGTGGATTCCGACGCCTGACGTCCTTAGGATGCGGGTCCCAGAAAAGTCCAAAATGTTACACGTGTAAACTGTAGAACGGTGGACGGCCCATCGTTCGCGCGACGGTGTGCGTGTTAGAATGGGGACAGGCGGCCGTGGATCGTGGCCGAAATTTGATTTCGCCGTAAAAGGGGCTAAAAACATCTGTTTCTTTTGCCATGACTTCGGTTTGGTCTTTACTCAACAAATCTTGCCCCGTCCTAAACTCTTGTCCCTCGTGTTTCATAATTTTTTGGTACTTCACTGACTTAATATAATGGACGTTTTTATAATTTTTCCTTAAATTAAAGATTTATAGTACTTTTTTTTGTTCTGATCTTTATTATTTAGAGATGGCATCAGCTGTTTTTAAATGTAATGTTCAAAAATAATGGTACTATATTTGATAATATATTTGAGTATAAAGACTCATGTATATCAATGATTTATTAATAAGAATAGAAAAAGCTTTTTTTAAAATAAAATTTTAAATTTAAATTTTATAAATAAAAAATAAATCTTAACAGAATTTCTCTTCATATAAGATTTGATATGACTTGTTTTTTAATTAATTATGATTTAATGTGACTTTAAAATACTAAAAGATTAATATAAAAAAATAAAAGTTCATATATTTAGTGGCTTATATTATTTTTGAGATGATGTTATTGTCATACCTTCAATTAATTATTAATGTTACACATTTTTATCTTAATTGACTATTGCACCATTTAATTTATTAAGACACAAAAAATATAAAATTTTAAAATATATATATATAATATAAGATTATAACTAATAATTACACTAAAAAAATGATATTAACTATTTAAGGTGAGAATAATCTCATTCCCATTTTTCCCTGTAAATATATCTTTTTAACAAGAAAAATAAATTAAGGGGAGTACAAG